AATTCAACTATTGATTTGACTCTAGGGAAAGCAACTGAGTGACTAGGAAACAGACAGGAATAGATTTTTCATCATATGCACCTAGTATTATTGGAATTCTGTACTATGTGAACACACAAGCAATTCAAAAAAAAAAAACCCAAAATTTAAATTAAAACAATTGAGTATCCCAGCAATGATTGATGAACACAGCCTTTTGATGAGAGTTCAAAAGTTTGGTACAGTTACTAATGAAGAATTCAGGAAATCACCAGGAACTTCCCACCTTGTATTCAGTAAGTTAATATGTAGAGAAGTCCAAAATGGACAAAGAAAAGCAACTGAAATGCTTTGGAATCCTTTGATATTCTTCCCTAGCCTTTCATCTCCATATTATATATATTAAAAATAAAGATAGTGGTCATATCAATATTTCACAGCATTCTTCCTTATTACTATACTTTTGTATACTTTTAGGAACTGATTTTGAATCTTCTTTATAATTTCACTACTATAATTTATACTAAAATTTAACTTTCTACATTTGTTAAATTCCTAGGATGGAGTCCATTATCTTCTCCCATGTGGTTTGGAGTAATTGGTAGTTGTTGTTCAGGCAAGAATTAACACGTTTACAATGTTAAGTTATCACATCCAGAATCCTAGACTATTTCCTCATATATTTAAATAGTAAATTATTTCCTTTAATACAGTTTTCAGTATTTCTTTACGGAAATCTTGTGCATTTTTGTTATATTATTTTCCAGGAATGTTTGCATTTTTCTTGTTGCTGTGTTGTCTCTATCACTTAAGGCTTATTGCTGTTTTAGAAAAAATGCTGTGATTTTTAAAAGTGTCTTTGACTCTGGTAAACTTCTGTTGATCTTGTTTATTTGTGTGAATCTTTGTATTTTGCTGTTTTCCTTTCTATACAGATTATCTACATATAGATGGTCTGCAGGTAATGTTTCCTTTCCAACCTTTGTATCTATGTTCTTTTCTTATTTTATAGCTGGAACCAAGGCCTCCAGTAGGTATTATATTAAACAATACCTGGGAGTCAGATGTCCCTTTGATTTGCTCTTGCACCACTATGTTCCTCTCATTTGTCACACTGCTGTAGTTGAAATTTCACAATTATGAAATTTTTATTATTTTATTAGTGATTATTTTATTAGTATTAACTTCCCTACGAGCTCTATGAAAGCAGGAATTATGACTGGTTTTTCTCTTCATTGCATCACTGTGTAGTGTAGTGGGACATATTTATCTCAATAAATACTTCTTGAGTGAATGAATAAATGAGTGGCCTAAGCTGATAAAGAAGAATTAAAAGCACAATAGATGAGGGCCCTACGTTTCTTACTTTGTTTTTTCTTCACGTATTACAATTACAAGTGCATTAACGTTCAGGAGCATACGTATCAGGGTATTTAGGTTGCAAGCACCAAAACTCATGCTGGCTAAATTAAATGAGAGGGGAATTTAGTGGAAGGAAACAAGATGGGAACTTGGGATTAGAAGGTGAAAGGAGGGCTGAAACACTATGCTAAGAAAAGAGCAATTCTGAGGATATAGAGTAGATAGTAGAAACCACTCAACAGTTTTGTCTGGGTACTGCCATTGGAACAACCATTTTCATCTTTTTATCTCTCTGATCAAAATCCATATTCCAGGGAGGGAGCATCCAACTGGTATAATTTGAGTCACATGACTATCCTTGGACAGATGAGGGCAACACCAGTGTAGTAAGTAGGGGTGAATCCCAAAGACATAATGTGGTGCTACTACCAGAAAAAGGAATTGATGCTTGTGGGTCAAGAATCCTTGACCTCCGCAACTTACAAGTTTTGGGTTTCGATCACTTTAAAGGTCCACCTGCAATATCACCATTTCAGATATTAGGATAAACTAGAAACTAATGAAAAGAGTGGGAGAGGGAGTAACAGGGTGAAGGAGTTCAGAATGGGAGGAAGTATATCTGAGTATTCCTTTTAAATATAGTTTTGATAACTACAATGAGGTATCAGTTCACACCAGTCAGAATGGCCATCATCAAAAAGTCTACAAATAAATGCTAGAGTGTGGGGAAAAGGGAACCATCCTGTACTGTTGGTGGGAATGTAAATTGGTGCAGCCCCTATGGAAAACAGTATGGAGTTTCCTTAGAAAACTAAAAATAGAGCTACTGTATGATTCAGCAATCTCACTCCTAGGCATTTATCCGGAAAAGATGAGAACTCTAATTTGAAAAGACATAAGCACCCCAATATTCATAGCAGCACTATTTACAATGGTCAAGATATGAAAGCAACTTGTGTCCATCAACAGATGAATGTGTAAAGAAAATATGGTAAATATATACAATAGGATATTACTCAGCCATAAAAAAGAATGAAATAATGCCGGTTGCAGCAACATGGATGGACCTAGAGATGATCATACTAAGTCAGAGAAATAAATATTATATGATATCACTTATATGTGGAATCTAAAAAATAATACAAATGATTTATTTACAAAACAGAAACACAGAAAACAAACTATGGCTACCAAAGGGGAAAGGATCAGGGGAGGGATAAATTAGGAGTGTGAAACTAACAGATAGACACTATTATATATAAACTGGATAATCAACAAGGAATTAATGTATAGCACAGGAAACTATATTCAATATCTTGTAATTACCTATAATGGAAAAGAATCTGAATATATATATATATATATATATATATATATATATATATATATATATATATATAAAACCACTTTGCTATACACCTGAAACTAAAGCAATATTATAAATGACAAGCCCTTCATCTGTGATCTGAGTTGCAAATCTATTCTTCCAGTTTGTCGTGTCTTTTAACGTTGTTTATGGTGTACATGGTAAACAAAACAAAACACCATGTTTTTCTATTAGTTCAAGTCTACTTTTGCATTTTCCAAGTGTATTTTAAGGTTTTCCTCACTATAGGTTTTACACATTTCTCATTAAGCATTGCTTTTTGTTTTTGCTCATATAATGCTACTCACTTGTAGTTGTGTGTGAAACTATTGATTTGTGTATTAATTTTATCTTATTACTTTGCTGTATTACTTTATTTACATATTGCTTTAGTGGTTTATTCGTTTTTGAAATCCTGGTGTTTTCCACTCGTCTGTATTAGATAGTTCTGCCTTTGCAATTCTGATGCCCCTCATCGTTTTCTTTTGCCTGATTTGCTGTTTTCACTGAGTGTTGAAATGTAGCAGACATATCTTCCTCTTATTCCTTGACTTTGTGCTTACTTTCCTTTGATGGGAATACTGATAGTATTTCCCTGTTAAACAAGATGCTAAATTTTACTTAAAAAAAAAAATCAGACATGGGTGTTCACCTTTGTCAAAGGCCTTTTCATCATCCATAGGGATAACTGTGTTTGTCCTTAGATCTATTACTGTGTGAATATATGAACAGACTTCCTGATATTGAACCATCTTTGTATCAGTCAGGCTATGTCTTAAAATGTGCTATAGATTCTGTTTGCTAATACTTTATTTAGGAAGTTAGGACTCAATATTCATATGTGAGATTGGTTTGTGGTTTTTTTGTGCAGTCTTTGTCAGATTTGGATATCAATGTTACACTTGCTTTATTAAAAGAAACTATGAACTTTCCTTCATTTTCTCTATTTCGGAACACTTTATCTAACATTAGGGATTATCTGGCCTTTAAAAGGTTTGGAAGTTTCTCCGGAAACCATCTGAACCAGGAGTAGTCCCTTGATAACTCCTTCTATAGAAATTATTTTCACTTTCTCTACTAGGATGAATTTAAATATTCTATTTTCCTAGGAAATTAGTCATTCACTTATCAAATTCACTTGTACTAAGTTATGCAAAGTAGTCCTATGTTTATTTGAATACCCTGCTTCAGTGGCTACTTCTTCCTTTTATTTACTTTTTGGTATTTATGCTCTTTCTTGATTAGGTGAGCTAGAGGATTTTGTCTGTGTGTGTATGAGAGAACTACCATTTATCAACTGTATTACTTATTTATGTCTAATTATTTTCTGTTTTTGCCTTGATTAAAAATTTCTGGAAAAGAAATGCTAAGTGTCAGAATATATGGGATTCAATTAAATCAATGATGGGGGAAATAGTTTTTAAATACTTTATGTGAGAATTTAAATCAGTGAATTACTTAACTCAAAAAAAGAAAGTAAAAAGTGGAAGGCAATAAAGATAAAACCCCATGGTCCTAAACCCTTTTTGAATCAAATGCTGACAAGATGGAAGCCAAATTCTCTTATATTGGCTCCTGGATTTGGACTGCCATGAGACGATGAGATCCTGGAACAGTCTTTGGATTCCATGACTACTGGTCCAAGTGCAGAGTGACAGTCTCCTCAAGTGGCCCAGGCATTCTAACCAGAGACAGGACAGAGGTGTAGTTTCTCCACGTGGATGTTTAAACACGATGCAATAGTAGCAATCCATTATGCAGCATGAGGCGCAGCATTTGTGCAACTTGATCCCTGCTAGTGATTAACGCTACGCTGAACGATGCCCCAAATGACCTATACAGTTACTCTAGACATCAAAATTAAAGCTAAATATAAAATGTAAAAGTCAACAGGGTTATGTTAATCTCAGCAATTAACTGTAAGATTTTATGTTGACCAATGTTTAATACTTAATTTATTTCCTGAAATCTGATCTACCATCTTCAGTTTCAATTATATTTGACAGACATTAAGAGCTGACCAGGGAAAATATTTGTAAGAAATGAAAAGAAAGCATATATAAGTATATATACAATAATGACTTAACTCTGTAAAACAAAATACAAATATGCCATATTTTATACATCAAAATATATATTTACAGTGGTAGTAACTCCCTGAAGGCAAAAATCCCTTAGTCATCTTTGTAGGGCCATCGTATAGAAAAGTGCCTGGTACAAAGTAGGTGTTCATTAAGTGTTTGCTGAAAAAAACTGAAAGTGAATAATAAATATTCTCAAAAAAAGGGGGTACTTAATCAAGTAATATACAAAATTTTAATATTTATCTGAAACATACAAAGGCCTAAAGATAAAGTTGATACCTAACTAAAAGTTTCTTATATAATTTCATTATTACAAAGTTAAGTCTTGAGTCAAAAATCCAATTCTAAAAATATAATCTCAAAAATCACATATCTACATATAATACTGACAAGCAACTTGTCTTAGGCTATATCATCATCATCTACTGCAGCATAGATGGCTTGATTCCTCCTCTTAATTTTCTTTCTTTGTTCGGGTTCATGTTCATTACTCAGCCTCTTCAACGGCACTGAGGTTAAGTCCTTTCCATCCTCCAATTCCACAGGCTCACCAGGTTTCCCCTCCTTGCCAACTGGGGAACCTGATGTATCATCAGAAGATAGAATCATGGAACTTGGCAAGATCCTGACATCAGAAAAGCTTGCAGAAAAGTCCGAAGCTTGATCAGAAGAAGGGTCTACAGATGGTGTATTCATGTCACTGTGTGCACTTACAATACTATCTTCATATTCCTCTTCTTCATCTAAAATTATCTCATCTGGATTAATCGAGGACAGGGCAGATGTGTCTGTGTTGTATTCACTGGGGTCTTCTCCAGAGTCATTGCTCTCCACATCATCCTGCCCTTCATAGTCATCACACAACTGATGTTTTTCTTTGGCCTTCTGAAGCCTGACATTAATGTCAGTGATGCCAAGTCGAGCACAAAATTCAGTAGTCTGAGGACTGATCCTATGAACCAACTGCATTTGTGTCTGTGGCTTGCTAGGGTCATAACAAGGAGCAGTTACACTAAAGTTACTTGGAATTTTGAGGTCATGATTCAATTTTTCCAATACTTCATTCATAGCTTCTTTTGTTGCACTGTAATCCCACCTGTAAAGTCCAAAACAATATCTTTTTATATTTTAGCAGCCTTGGACAGTAAATGATTAGATCTAACTATGGGCTGCAGGAGCAAGGATAAAAAATAAGCCACATTTTAAAATTCCATTTAATAAAATTACAGTTAATTTAGCAAAGGACAGTTTTAAAATAAAAACAAAGAAAAAACTACCCTTAACTCACACCCAAAAACAAGTACGAATTATTTTAATGTGTGAACCAAATCTCCACCATCTTACAGTTTTAAGCACTACGCACTTACTTGGGTCGGTGCTCATCAGCAGTCCATTTTCTTGGATCTCTTAGATGGAAAACTTGCAATTTTCATACCAGTTAGTAAACTTTGAATTGTTCTGATTTATTTCACAGTAATTCCCTTGATTAAAAATAATAATAAAAAGGTGGAGGGGACAAAAACTATGCATGCAATGGAGCAGGCAAATCCTACTAAGATCAGACCTACCGTGTATGCAGGCCATTATTTTCAGGCATATTCCACAAGCGCTCAGTCACGTTAATAAGATCATCAGTAGCCCTGAGAATAGCCAGCCATTCAGTGTCATACTCCAGGTAATCAGGAGCACTGGGGTCATGTTCTATTTCTATTACCTACAAGAAGAAATAGGTAATTTCAAGAAATAAGTATCTATTTTTAATATTCTAAGAATGTCAATATAACAACAAAATTTTAAATGAATTTAATTTAATGGTTTAAAAACATTAATGTAACTTAAATATTCCCAAAGAAATCTGAAAATATATAAATTACAAAGAGCACAAATAAATTCAGAAAGTTAATACTGTTTTTTAATCACTGGAAGAGTAAAACTATATTGCAAAGTTCATTTTCTTTTTACCTGAAGAAAGTCTCTGTGTGGTAAGCATTTGTCCAAGGCTAGAAATTTGGTTGCTTTGGCTGACTGTCCTTTATCCTTGGCCTAGACAATATGAAGCATGATTTGAGAAAGACTGTTAAAACATACACTGAATAGGATGGAAATCATCTTTATCAGCCATACCCCTAAGTGGTGTGTCAAAGTTACAACTGGTACTTTTCCAAAACAAGTTAGCTCTACACCCACTCATGCAATGATGAGCAAGGCACTTATACTCTCTGGGCTTCAATTTCCTTACAAAAGTCAAAGCAGAAAGTAATGGTGGTGATGACAATGTTAAATCAAAGCATATAACACACATATATCAAAGCATATAATACAGATTAAAGATAAGACAACAGAAGAGCTTAAAAGTAAACTGGTAGAGCTAAAACGTACAGGAGAAAATTTCTGCAATCTTAGGTTAGGCAAAGATTTCTTAGACACAACACCAGAGTAGATGTATATACTACAGTACGACAAAGTACTATTCACCAATAAAGCTGAAATACTGATACATGCCACAGCAAGAATGAACCTCAAAAGCAAGCAAAGGGAAGAAATCAGATGCCAAAGACTATATATTGTATGATTCCATTTATATGAAATGTTCAGAAAAGACAAATCCATAGAGACAAAGCAGATCAGTGGCTGCCTGGGGCTGAGGGCAGGAACAAAGACTGATAGCAGACAGGCACAGAGGATTTTCTGGGGTGATGGCAGTGTTCTAGAACTAGACTATATGATGTTTGTCCAACTCTGGAAATGTACTAAATATCACTGAATTCTACACTTACAACAGGTGAATTTTATGACGTGGAAATGATACTCCAATAAAACTTTTTTTTAAAGTGAATTGGCAGGGAAAAACATGAGCAGGACCGCAAACATGAAGGTCACGTTGGAAGAAATAGGAAGTGACTCACTAAAAACAGTAAGGCACACGGAGAAAAAAAGACAAAAAAGCAAGCCATGGGACATCCTACTGAGGACCAGGTTTCAACTGAGTGGTGGTGAGGGACACAGAGAGGTGGAAGGCACAGAGGTCACGGACAGGTCTTGGCCACGGGGCAGTTCTGAGGAAGGATGGTCTTTGGTGTTGGGAAAAGGGCTCTGACAGAAAACTGGTGAGAGTCAGAGGCGGTTGAGGAGCCAAGAAAACGGGATCAAACAGAACACTAATTCAGAGACATGGGTCCCTAAGGTCAACAATGGAAGACGGAGTGTGGGAAAAGTAAATCAGTTGCTTCAGTAAAAATCCAAGGGTGTCATATAAGCCCCAAGGGACAGAAGAGAGTAACACAGATGTGGAAGAGGTGACTGATGTTGACACATGACTTGGACATTAGAAGAGCCCAAAGGAAAACGAAAGGAGTAACCTCGCCTCCTTCTAGTGAAGCTGGCGAGGGAGAATAAGCCCACAGCAGAGGGGCCCACAGGACTGTTTCCAGACAGAACCTTCCTAACTGGGTTTGAGGAGCATCGTTAAAGTGCACCTCCACCGCAGAAAGGGGTCTGCTTAAGTTCAGGAAGCTCTGCACCAACCTCCCTCCCTACGCATCTTGGAGAAAGGTAATGCCCGTTAGCATATCAAAGGGCCTCAGAAATTCTACAGAAGCCTCTGAGAAGAAATCTCGGTTAACCCAGCATTTTCTGTGTCTTCCTATGGAATACTTCATGGGAAAGTCAGTTCAGTCAGAGTAGGAGGTAAAAGGAAGAACCGCTTATTTCCATAAAAGCCTAACTATAAATCTGTAACAATATGTATTTATTTTCTAGCCTCCATCAAGCACCATCACCCAAGAAAAACTCTGGGAGTCAGTCTAGACTCCCTCCTCCCTCTGTCACTAAATCTGACGATTCTGCTTCAAAATCTTTCGGAACCTGCATTATTCTCAGTGTTCCTGCTTTGCCTTGGGTTAGAACTTCATCTTTTGCTTAAATAGCCTCCTTGCCTCCCATTTTACATTACTCCAATCCATACACAAAACTGCTGCCAATGTAATCTTTCTGCAATGAGAACCTGATGTCGTCACTCTCCAACTTTCCCCATTACCTTCTGGTTAAAACCTGAACTCCAGAGCAGGGCCCAGGAGGCAGCTAGGATCTTGTTCCCACGTCATCTCTCCCTGGGCCTCAGCCACAGGAATCAGCTGCAGTTCCCCAAAGGTACCAGGCTCTCAGCCCTCCAGCCTCTGCACACATCAGTCCCTCTACCTGCATCACCCTGGTCATCTGCTTCCTCCTGGCACCATCAGTGCCTTTAGAAACCTTCCATATCCCTCCATCTCTCTGGCCATGGCCCCATCTCACCCTGCCCTGGCTTAGGTTTTCCCACAGCATCCTGGCACTTTTTGTCACAAACTGACTATGCTGTTTTATAATTGCTTGCTTGGCCCTTCCCCTCACTGGACGCTGAGTGACTCACAAAAGGAAAGCTGTCTTTGATTTTTTTCTCTGACTTTACAACTGTGCCCATAGTGCCTAGCGTGTAGATGTTCAATAAATGTTTCTTAAATCAAAGAATAAACACTTTGTTTTCTACCTGATGTTGCATCAAGGCTGCAAACTTCACATGGAGGTGTGCGGAAAACCAGTAAGTAGGTTTTAAGTGCTCCAAAAGCTCTGAGGCTGCAGGACTTCCTAACGTATTATTTTCCACTTCTTGTCGGAAAAAAGATTTAGTCTTAAGAAGCTGCTTCTTATTTCCATAATGATATATACTTCTTGGCCAATCGTGAGATAGGAATATGTCCATAGGCTGCTTCAGCTTTAATGGAAAAAGAAAGCTCTTAAAAACGGATTAACCAAAAGCAGTCCCCTCCATTCTCTCCACCACCACACAACCATTTACCCATGTAGGTCTCTAGATTTCTGTGTTATTCATTCTAAAGACAGTTTATTTAAGGAAGTCCCAGAATACTGAGCTACTCGCTCATCTAGGCAAAGAGGAAACTTCCTCTCTGCCTCATAAATCATCCTTATTTTCCGTGGCAAGGCAGGTCCATAGAGACACACTTCGATTAGGCTGCCAATCAGCTATGGTCTTAGCACTGGGTGTCTAAAATCTCTAACAATCATTGTCCTTTTCCTTTTGTAAAGAAACTACTATTTTAAGATCCAGTGACACCAGATTTCATGAGACTTGTAATGTAAATGATACAATAAACCTAAAGATACGTTCCATTTTTTTCTAATAGATTCACACAGTAAACACCAAAAAAAAAAACCCTCTTGTTTACTACAAAAATTATAATAGAGTTATTTAAGGGACCTGGTGTCTTCATGAGGAGCACACAAAATATACTCCATACTTTCAAGTAATCCAAAACAAATACTTGGAAAACAAATTAATTTAAATAAGTGTTCCAGAAAATACAAAATGTAAGATAAATATGACTACACTGAAAAACTTGAGTGGGCAAAAAGTGTTATGAAAATTCAGAGAAGGTTGATGACATTAAACTAGACACTGGTTGGGAAGTGGTATCTAAGCTGGGTCTACAAGGACTGGTAGGATTCAGATGAGTCAAAGGGAAAAAGCATTCAAGGTGAGAACTGTCATGAATAGGGCACACCTGCAAGCATTCTTATGCTCCTATAGAGGCTGTTGTACCTGGTGGGAAGGGACTGAGTTCGGACCTGGCAGGCTCTACCACTTAACCACATGGGAAGTCCTGGGCAGGGCCAGGGTACCTTCCCTACCTGGGCCTTGGCCTCTCACCCTTAATGTGACAAAATAACACCTACCTCACAGCATCTGAGTGACAATTATTTGAACTATCACGGGGGAAAGTTGCTTAGCCCAGTGTCAGGCATTTAATGGCTTCTCAAACAAAAACCTAGTTTCACCTACTCTCCAGTTAAGTCAGGGTTTCCATACTACCTTCACAATTTTCCCATATCCTCTATCATCTTCACTGTTACTTATTTTCTATTTCATATCATTATATGAAATAAAACATTTAATATTTTCTTTAAAGTATCACTTTATCCCAATATATAATCTAGCCTTAGCCTAAGTAACAGTATCCAAAGGTGTGGATCAAATATTTTATTTTATTATTAACTACTAAAATCAACGTATAGCCATTAAAATAAAAAATAATGTTCACCTGTGAACCTCTTAGAAACAACTGGGGATCCAAATTTTAGAAATACTGAACTGAGCTCATCTTGGAAACAGTAGACTACAATGAACAAAGTACATTTTGGTGCAGAATTATTTTAACATTTTTTTCCAGTTTGCTGTAATGTACTTTTTTACATACCTGTTTTAATTTGTACACTTCGATATTTCTCACATGATATATACTCCTTATTGTTGCTGCATTATAAGGGGGGCACTCAAAATGACCTTAAATTGAAGAAGACAAATAAGCTATATTCAACTCCCTTAAACATTGCAAGTACAAATACATACACACACTTTTCCAATGCTTTTGGTTCTTAAATTTTTCTTTTAATTTTATTAGTATTTTCTACTAATAAGTGATCATAAACTAGAAATCTAAATAACTGTGGGGGCTTATGATTTTTAAAATTAAATTATATGTAATTCTGAAATACACTGTTTATTCACATTGCTAAAGATTTAAAAGATATCATTAGGAAGGTATAGGTTAAAGGTATAGGGTTCCTCCTGGAGTGTAGACCAGTGGGTGCCTAGGGCTGGCATAGGAGTCAGGATGACATTTGGCACAAAACGTTTAGGGATGATAGGACTGTTCTAAATCTGGATGGTGGTAAAAGCTGCATAACTATAAATTTACTAAAATCACTGAATTGTATACTTACAATGGTATATAAATTTTACTGCAATAAAGCTACTAAAACAAGGGGAGGGGATTTTCCTATGCCTTCTCCCAGCCATCAGTAACCCTACCTATGGGCAAACAGTGTTAACCAGGTTTTAGTATTTTATTCCAGGGAAATCATCTATGCATATAAAACACCTATTTCTTTATTCCCTCTTTTTTTTTTTCAACACAAATGGCAGTATATCTTATACATGTTCCGTGCCTTGTTTTTTTCACTTAACTTATTTTGGAGTTCTTTTCATATTAGTCACACATAGAGAGCCTGCTTTTTTTTTTTCTTTTTAATGACTTCAAAGCATTACATTATAATGCTATATTTAACTAGTTCCTATTTTTTGCTATTACAAACAAGGCTGAACTAAATAAATTTATTTATATCCTTTTGCACTTGTGGAATGTATCTGTAGATCAGTTCCTGGAAGATGAACTCCTGGGTCAGAACACATTTATTGATTTCCATAGATATTACCAATTGTCATCTAAAGAGTGGTTCTAATTTCCACCCACACCTGCCATGTAGGAGATGGACTATTTTTGTGACCCATGCCAAGTTTATAATCACAGGGAGCAGGGCAGCAGGGAACAGACTTGTGATTTAACAGTTACCTTGAGGATATAAGTTTTAACTGCCAACTTAATTCATAAGTTTTAAAATCAATGTGAATCCAAGCTATTTCTTGAACTTTAAAAACTAGTTATAAATAATTCATTCAGATACAGTGTGGTATGCTTATACAATGGAATACTATTCACAAATTAAAATGAATAGATTAGTTACATGTGTCAACATGGATTTCAAAAACATTAAACAAAAAAGCAAGTTGAAGAAAGATACATATAAAATGACACACTTATATGAAGTTTAACACATGCTATACAATACAATGCAATACAATGTTTAATACATGCTATGCAGTTCAACACATGCTATACAATGTTTAATAAGCTGTTACTGATACAGTAATGATATGAAATAATCAAGTGAATGATAAACACCAAATTCTGAATAATGACTGCCTGGTGAGGTAAGGGAGGAATAAAAAGAGAGAGATGGGACTGAGGAAAGATAAACAATGAACTTCAGTTATATCTGCACTTTTTTATTTCTTAAAAAGCAAAATTCAAAATGGCAAAATAGCAAATAAAACTAGATGGTAGACACACAGACAATCCGTTCTAGTATTCTCTGTTTTCATATGTATAAAATATTTTATAACAAATTTAAGAATAAATTAATCAGTTCATAGAAGAAATCCAACAAAAAAGTCAATCTGTATATATTATGCTTAGTTACTCTGGGGCATGCAAGTTCTAAAGTTTAAAAACAATTCTCAAAATAACAATACCTTTTCGATAGTCATGAGATTTAAATATACCAGAGATTCCACCAATCCTTACGCCTCGGTATTTTACTACACCTGCCAAACCTGAAAAAATACACAGTTAAACAAAATTACTGCAGGAAAAGCAATCTCTTTGCTAACTGAACAAACAGTTTAGAAGCCTAGAATTCCATGCAGTCCTAAAATTATTTGAAAATTAAGTATCATGATGAGGTTACTATTTTACATAGGAATATGCCAACAATACATAAGGCAGACTAGGGAGGGGAGGACTAGAAGCAGATCAGGCAAGAGACTGAGCAGAAAGGAAGGAAAAAATGAGATAGGGCATGTTAAGAGGGAAACAGACATACGTAATTTGGCACATAATGGAATATGGAGATGGGGCAGGGGAAATAAGGGAAAATGTCTTATGATGGATTTGTCTGTTATAAATCTGGAAGTCAAAAGTTTAAGGTATAAAGAACCGGCAGCTTCTGTATTTCAGTTCTGATTGATCGTTTACAGAAAATTTCATCTTTTCACAACATTGCAGTTGTCAATCAGTAATAAAGTAAGGAAATTACATTTCTGAAGTTACAATGTCATCATTAGAAACACCTATAAACATTTAAGTGAAGAGATAAAAGGACTATATAGTTTAAAAGGATTAAAATCAAACCTGAACCTAATTAGGTCTGTAAATCTAAATGCAGATTATAGCCAATGCAAAAAATAAAAGGAACATGTTAAACAACACGAGGAATTCCAATTCAGAATGTAGGAAGTTCTACTAGACAAATGTCCCCACTTTCTTCAACAAATAAACAGCACAGGGTGGGAGTTGGGAGAGAGGGTGAAAAGGGACTATGAGACTTCAGAATCATGACAATCAAATGAAATGTGCAGACCTTGTTGGCATCCTATTTGAACAAGTGTCAACTGTAAAACAGACATCTTTGTGATAATCAGGGAAATCTGAACATGAACTAGGCAATAGATAACAAGGAATTACTGTTACTTTAGTTAGGTATAATCACAGTACTGTAGTTGTATTTTTTTAAACCCTCACACTTAAAAATACATGCTGAAGTATTACAGGTGAAATAATCTGATGCCTGAGATTTGCTTTAAAATACTCCTACAAAGCAGTTTAGGGGAGAGTGGATTGAATTAAGGATGGCGGAATAATAGTTGTTAAAGCTGATTAATAAGTACATAGATTCATTATGCTATTCTCTATTTCTGTATATGTTTAACAATTTCCATTATAAAAAGTTTTGAGTTTTTTTAAATTTTATTAAAAGAGTAGGAAAAAAAAATAAAGGAATTGCAAATAGTATGTAAGTTCTTTGCAGTAATATTAAGTATTGCTTAAAACACCAGATGATGCATGGATATATTTTCATGACTACTTACTTAAATTAATTGTTTTAATTAAATTTTCATGATTATTTAAATCAAGAAGCATTCCTAAAAGACCGTACATCTCAAGATGCTGATCAACTGGTATACAAATCCTGACAGGCTCTTCCATCCCATCAAACCAAGAAATTACCCACAAACACATACCTAAATAATAAATGTTGGGTGCCACCCAGCCACCGTAGGGTAACTCTTGCAAATGATTTGAGGCTTCATGGTTTCCCCCAATGAAAATTGTGAGAACTGGGGCCTTTTTCTCTCCAGAGTAATATCTAAAACACAAGGGTAACGTCAATTGGCATAGCAGAAATCAGGGATAGAGGAAAGCAATTGGGCATATCTATACCATCAGGCATAGCAGAAAAGCGAAATACGGTCCGAAATAAAAAAAATCTGAGCTCATCATAAAAAGTTTAAATCCTCTAAACCAACTGTCCATCCTTGTCCTTAGGAATGAAGGGCTGCCGCCTTGGGTTTCAAGCCAACGTACGTTCAATAAGGTCAAAAACTTTGTCAGTTCACTGCTGTAACTTTAGCTTCCAGAATGAGGACTGACGCATAGCAAGCGTCCAGTAAAAATTCCTGGATCATTAAATGGACTAGTCCCAGAGTCCTATCAAGTATACCGTAGATTAACTTGTCAGTTTCTTCCTGCAAGTTTTCCCCTCAGGCTGCGATCCCTTCCGAAACAAAATAGACGAATTTAAATAAGAAAAGTGACATTTACGAAGGGCCAGTTCCTAGCGATAACAAAGACGGGGACTAAGAGAGACGGCTGTTCAGTAGCAGACGGGATTCGAACCCAGTCCAGGTTCTCTGCCCCCACTGCTGGCTAGTCACACCTCGCACGGCGGGGTCCGAGGCCCGGCGGCCTCCCTCACCTGTAGAAGGTCTGCATGTGGCGGTACTTGGGCGGCACGGCCATGCAGCGCAGGTCGGCCTCGTTGCGCACTGCCTGGAAGTCGCCGCAGCACAGCAGAAGGTCTATCGGCCCGGGGCCGCGCCGCTCCGCCAGCGCCAGCGTCTCGTAGATCTTGTCCAGCTCGCCGTGGCAGCAGCCGGCCACAGCCACCCGCATCCTGCCGGCCCGAGGCGGGAAGCGCTGCCCGCAACCCCTCAAACCAGAGCCAGCCCAAGCCGGACTGATCGCTCAGCTCCCGCCAACCTTAACTGAGATGCCGCCTCTTACAAGTGAGACTCTTGCAATATAACTCACTTCCGGTTTCCAAATCTCGCGAGAGAAGGATCGGGACGGGGAAGACTAGCACCGAATTCCAGGGAGCTGGTGAATCAACTCAGGCTCTACGTATCTTGTCCCGTCTTTGAGTCGGAGCGATCTGACAGACGGTAAAAAGCAAAACCAGAGTAGTAAAATAAACAAAAATCCTCAGAAATAGGCGTTTAGTTTGATAAAAATCAAACCAAACTTGGAATGAACCTCTCATGGCAAAGATAATTGCCTGAAAGTGATTAGAAATTAAAAGATTTTAAGGCACCCCAAAATAAAAATAAATTTAAAATAAAACTTAAAAACTCACTGAGGATTTTGAAATTATCTCCTCGAAGAGTTTCTAAAACTATCTGTGGGTTTTTTTTTAAAGGGGCCGGGGACTCTTCATTTTCCTACCAAATAGTTGTTTGCATAACTAGAATGCAAGTTCATGAAAGCAGATGTCTAGAAAACATCCAGGGGGGAAATGGGCCAAGCTGGCAATCAAAGAGTTTGTGGCCAAGACAGAAACAAGTAAACAAATAAATAAAACGCCTCAGGAAATTTCAATCAAGAAAATAAGCTAATCAAGATAATGCAGAGAATAAAAAATCGATCTCAGCTCTTAAAATAAAATCTAGATAAAATAAGCAATATTCCAGGAACAAAGGCACCAAAATTAATACAAAATGAAGAGGAAGATGTAAACAAAACAATGACAATAAGAAGACACTGGAAAAGTTGTCAAAGACATAAATCCATTGAAAGACATTGTAGCCAGAGTGATTTATGGACAATTTCTTTCAAATTTACAAGGAGGACATAATTTTCATGACATCTAAATCGATCAAAAGTTTAGAAAAATATGGAAACTAATATTCCCGACTATTTTTAATGTTTTATTTTCCTTCTGAATTAAATTTTTTGAAATACATAAGAAGAGATACTTTTTATGACATTGCTAAATTTAACTTCTTCCATTTGATTTTCAATCTACAGTAATTACCTTTTTATGGGTCTTTTTTCCCACCATGTAAAAAAATTTTAATTTTAATTAACTTGAAGTACCATGAACAAATCAAATCTTAAGTGCACATTTTGATGCATTTTTACATGTATAATCACCCATATCAAGGTATAAAAAATTGCCAACATTCTAAGACTCCCTTGTGCTTCCTCCCAAGCCTTTTCTCCCAAAAGAAAAACTCCATTTTAACCTCTATCACCATAGATCAGTATTGCTTGTTTTTAAACATCATATAAACATCAGTATATATTATATACTCTTTTATGTCTGGCTTCCTTCATTCGACTAATGCTTGTGAAATTCATCCATGAACCTATGTAACTGAGCAGGATGCTATGGGGCCTTCCCAGGATAGAACTCCCCTCACCATGTCCTCTGCCTGCCTCTTGTTTGTAGAAAAACTTTAGTCTCCTAGCCCTTCCCCAAGTTTCAACGAATAAACTTAATCAGAGAAGTGAGAAAATGCAGAAACAGGAAAACAGTCAAGCAAGACAAAATAATAATGGTTTAACCACTGAACAAAGTCAAAGATCTTTAGTTCCTCCTTAACAGCTATAGAGAATATTCTGAACCATATCCTTTGAGCTGTTTTGCAAATACCAAAACCCCCACCAGGTGGAAGAAGTTAACTGTACCCTGCCTAGAGGCATGTATGGCCTGGACCAATTGGAACTAGAAGGTTGATGGTTGACTCCCAATTACGTCACCACCAATCAAACAGAAGAATGTCCATGAGCTGACCATGCACCATGCAACTCCCTTCTCTCACTGTGTCTTTAAAACCTTTTCCCCAAAAGCCATCTAGGAGTTCAGGCCTTTTGACCACTAGCTACCTGGGCTCCTTGCTTGGTGCCCTGCAGTAAACACTGCACTTTCCTTCACCACAACGCAGTGTCAGTAGATTGGCTTTATTGCATGCAGGTGAATGGACCCAAGTTTAGTCCGGTAACATCCATACTATAGATAGATGTATGCTATTTCTTATTCCTGTGTAGTATTTCATCATGTGAACTTACCATAGTTCATGTATCAATTTTTTTGTTGAGGGATATTTGGACTGTTTCTAAATTGGGACTATTATGAATAAAGCTGCATGCACATTCTTGTAAAATCTTTTGGTGGACGTAGCACTTTCTCCCCTTGGATTCTGCCCAGGAATGGACTCTCTGGGTAACACAGTAGATATATGTTGTTTTAAGACAGTGTCAGTTTCTAAAGTAGTTGTGCTAACTTACACTTTCTTAAGCAAAATGAGTGTTCTAATTATTCCCTATGCTCAATACCACTTGGTATTATCTGTCTGTTAAATTTTAGCCATTTTGTTAGTTGTGCAATGGTGTCTCCTTGCGATTTTCATGGAGATTCTACAACAAAATTTTAATATATCAATTTGAATTTTCTTCTTTGGTGACCATAGGAAACAATAACTTAATACCATAACATTCAAAATCTAGTGGTCAAAGAAGGACATAAAGATAATGAATAGGGATGAAGAAGTGCATTTTGCTCAGCTCTTATCTCTATTCCCAACCCACACCCCATCTCCAGAGGCCATACCAGTAAGTTAATTAACTTGAGAATTCTCACTGACTTTATCAAATCCAGAGAGAACAAAACTAAAATAGATAGCTTCAACTCCTTCCTATTCTGAATGAGAAGAGACACGAAGGTGGTTGGAGAAAAGTGAATTCAGTGAACAATGAAGATAATTCTTTTTGCAAATGTGAGGGACTCTTAACTGCTTAGGCAAGCCGTCTCAAACTGTGTATGTGTGGTCTGGGAAAACAAGCAGGTCTCAGATCTGGTGGGAAGGAAATTCCCTGATTCTGTCAGCGCAAAGACAGTATCTAGATAGAAGCAGCCAGCAATGAGCAAGATGAAAAAAGCACATGTGAACTATGGAAACATGCAAAACAGAGCATAATCCAGCTAAGCTGGTGTTAATTAAAACTTCTTAGGTACAACCAGATCTTTCTCCTTGAAATCAAGTCTTCTTAGGGGGAGGGTACAGCTGAAGTGGTATAGTGAATGCTTAGCATGCATACAGTCCTGGGTTCAATCCCCAGTACCTCCTCTAAAAATAAATAAATAAATAAACCTAATGACCACCCCCCAACCCCCAAAAAAGAAAAACCTAAATCAAGTCTTCTCATTGAAGTGGTTGATTCCAGGGCGGAGAAAATACAAAATGAGCCTGAATCATCTTATGCCAGAAGGCAAGGAAGTGCTCAAAGAATCTGGGACATCAAAAGTATATTGAGTGGAGGTTTTTCCACCTGCTAAATCTGAAACAATTTCAGTGTCAAAATACATAATATCAATATTAGCCCACTGAATAAAGTAAGAATCTATTATTCCATTCTGACGTAAATCAATCAATTAATCAACAGAGCTCTTATTTACACAAGAATGCTGATTGGTAAGTATAGAAGGAAAGTTGAAGTTAGGAATCACCATTTTACCGCCATCATAATCATCACCACCATCATCATCATTGTTCAGGCAAGACTTGTCAATGAATGCTAAGATAACTGGGTAAAACTTTGAAGAGTAATAGGATACTTACCTAGTGTCAATGTATCCATTATTTGAGACTGCTTATATGATCTCAAAGTATCTTTCCAACAGATACTTATTTTACCAAAGAGGAAAATAGGGATTTTACACCAGAGAAACCCAGTAGACACCACTTAACAGAATGATCAAAGTTAATCTCACTAGGAGTGGACAAATCCACCTCATGTGCCCCCTGATATGACATACATTACTTCTATGGTATGCCTGCCAAAAGTGGGTAACTTGACTCTAATCTTGAGAAACAGTAGACAAACTGAAATTGAGAAAGATTTTTTTAAAATAACTTGCCTGTCTTTTAAAAAATATATATTATGGTCAAGGGGTGGGTTATAGCTTAGTGGTAGAGCATATGCTTAGCATGCACGAGGTCCTGGGTTCAATCCCCAGTACTTCCATAAAAATAATAATAAAATAAAATAAAGTAAACCCCCAAAATGATGGTCATGAAACACAAGGACAGACTGAGAAAGATTAAAAGTTAAAGGATACTGAGGTTTTATGACAACTGAATGTAATGTGTTGCTATGAAAGACATTATTAGTATAATTGCAAAACCCAAATGAGATCTGTAAGTTAGACAGTATTGTATCAATATTAACTTCCTGGTCTTAAACATTTTACTGTGGCTACATAACAGAATTCTTTGTTTTTAGGAAACACACACTGACGTATTTAAGGATATATATACCTGCCCATCCATGTATTACAGGGGCTAGAAGCTAAGAAATTTCATTTCTTAGACTCCCTTGCTCGTTGAGGTATGGATTGGGCTTTGCACATGAGAAGCACTTGTGTGAGGTTGGAAGGTAAAAGAAAAGTAAAAGTAAAAGCTGTTTCTTTTCTCTTCTGGCTCTAGCAATGGTGGTGACAGCTCAGCAACCCAAGCTCCTTTAGCAATGGTGAACTTCCCACTGTTCCTGATCACAAGTAAAATACTCCCTCCCTGTTTGCATCTTTAGTCATTCTAATAATTTTGCAATCTTTTTACTTAAAGTACTTACTTCAGATGGGTTCTGTTTTCCTGTATGTTGTGCCAGCCAGGATGTCATTCATGGAAAAGGCCACAATCAGATATTTTCAACCATGAAAGAACTCCAAGGAGACAATACACATGAGCTCCTCTTGGGGAAAAAAAATGACTTGACAATGAAATCCAGCCAAATAAAAGATGAATAAAAATAAAGGACACAAGAAGAAAGAACTGTGTTGAAAAGACGGGTGATTTAAAATAGAAAAAACTAAGGGGATAGGAAATGCTGTGGTGAGGGTAGGGTACTTAACGTATATAGGATGATTCTGGAAGACCGTGTTGATAGAGTGACGTATTGAGGAGAAACCTTCATGAGGTAGGGGAGTGAGCTGTGGAGATACCTGGGCAATGAGCTTTCAAGTCAGTTTATAAATAAAATGTCACAAACATCAAAATAAAACATC